ACACACACACACGACATACACAACATACACATAACACACAGCACTCACACATACACAACACACACCACACACAACACACAGACACACACAGACACACACACACACACACAACATACGCAACACAACACACATACGCACACACTCACGCACCTCACACGTTTCGTGGCCCCGTCGCGAGCACCGCATAAGGCCCCAGTGCCTGTGCCAGCATGCTGCCCCGCGTTTCGTGGCTCTGTCGGACGCTCCGCCAAAGGCCCCAGTGGCTGCGCTCGCACGGCGCCCCGCCCTATGTCGGCACACCCCCCTCGCGCGCCTCGTGGCTCGAGGCCCTGGTGGCTGTGCCCGCAGGGCGCCCCGCCCCATTGCCGCCACACCCATCGTGTGCTTCGCGGCCGCGTAGGGAGCTCCGCCGAAGACCCCAGAGGCTGCCTCCGCATGGTGCCCCACCCTACTGCGGCACGCCCCTCGCACGTTTCGTGCCCCCCTTAGGAAGCTCCACCGCATGCAACGGTGGTAGGGTTCGCATGGTGGCCCGCCTCTCGGTTCGGCACGCCCATCACAGGTTCAGTGTAGTTTGACGCGTTTGGCGAAGCGTTCAGGGGTACCACAAAGCCTCACTTCACAGTATTCTCGTGCATTGAGCGGTCCTTGTCATAGCCGCCTCGTTTTGAGAGGGTTGGGTTCTGCGTCAGGCTTTTATGTTCTTCCAAAATTCGGGCTACAGGGTCCCGTTTCTGGGGCCCCGTGTGACCATGACGCGACTCAGGACAAGAGGCCAGTTCGGGGGAGTTGGTCAAAAGCTGTGGGGCCCACGGGTTCAGACGATCATGACGTCGGAGGCCTGGGTAGATGTAGAGCTGCGCCTGTCACTGATGCGCCTCTCCGTCTTCCTCCTGGCCCAGCGTTGCGGCGGTTGTCCAGGACGGTGGCCCAGTTTCGACACCCCTGCGCCCGCACCAGGCCTCACACGCAAGGCCGGCTCGGCCGAAGAGCTGGCCCAGGCCTCCTCCGCGGCTCTCTCGAGGCGTCGGTTCACTCCCTGCGCAGGGCCGGGGCGGCCCTGGGGCCCGCGTGGCGCCCTGGCGCGTCCCCCTGGCGCGTCCCGTGGCTCGTCCTCTAACGCCTCCCGTGCCGGTTCCCGGCACGCCCCTTGGCCTCGTCACGGGCGTGTCCCCTGGCGCGTCCCGTGGGACGTCCCCTGGCGTGTTCCCTGGCTCGTCCCTGGCGCGTCCCCCTGGCACGCCCCATGGCATGGAGCCCCATGGCAGGTGCCTGGCAGGTGCACGGCACGTCCCCTGATACGTCCCCGATGCGTCCCCTCGCGCATCTCCTGGCGCACTCCCTGGCACATCTCATGGCGCGCCCATGCGCGCTGCGCATCCTGTTGGTCCGTCCCGTGTTCGAATTGGATCGGATTTTGCAACCAGCTCTGGGCGAGCCATGCGTTCAGGCAGCTCGAGCAACACACCTGGATCAGTTCGGTCAGGATCGGGGCACCAAGGACGACTTAGTCTACAGTTTATACACTGTACATTATTCAACGCAGCAGGAGACAGCACAGTTCAGCAACGGACGGCAAAGCGCGTCACAGCGTAGCGTAGCACAGCACAGCCCCTGGCACGATATTACCACCATGGAGACCCTCAGCATTGCCACTCCCAATTGCCTCAGGGCAGTGCTATATCCCTTTCTGCGGTCGTGGGTCGACCTTGTTGACGTTCGTCCATCGAACATGCGCGCATCTGGTTCAAGTGTATGAGCGCGCTATGCTACCCAGCTGGTTGTGGCCAAGCCCGCAGAAATGCAAGCGCAGCAGCACTCGGAGATCCCAGCTGTGGGATGCGAGGCCAGGGGGGTCCACTCGAGCGACTGGAACAGCTCAGTCCGCCAGCCTCGCTCTGTCGCAGTGCGGGTGTGACTTCGCTTTGGTCGGCTACGGTGTCGCCAAGCATGGCGCAAGGGGGGGTGGGAGAAACACTTTGCAGAGGACTGTGCAAGTGCAGTGGAGATGAAGTCACGTTTCGAGAACATCGCACCAGGGCTCTGCGAGAAGACTTGGAGACCAGTGGGCGCCATCTGGTTGCCTGGCATTTCAACTGCTCCCGGCTTGTTTGTTTTACATTTGGTGCAGATCGCGCAGTCTGTTTCGCTCTGCGGTGATCATTCGAAAAAGGGAGGTGCATTGAAGTGTTCCCACATCCTGGGAAACAGGAGGCGAAATGAACGAAAGGGAAGGGAGTGGAGTGTAGTGGAGGGAGAGATAAGGAGGAGCAGGAGGAGGAAGAATCTGATGATGATGCTGATGCTGATGCTGCTGATGATGATGCTGATGCTGATGTTGATGCTGATGCTGCTGATGATGATTAGGATGATGATGAGGAGGAGGAACGGGAGGAGGAAGAGGTGGAGGAGGAGGAGGAGGAGGAGGAGGAGGAGGAGGAGGAGGCAGAGGAGGAGGGGGAAGAAGAGGAGGATAAGGAGGAGCAGGAGGAAGAGGGAGATGTTGATTTAGGCGGGAAATGAGGAGCAGGATGATGAAGAGGAGGGGCCCAGCTTCACGATCTAGCTTATAAGAAGCTGGAGGTTTTTGAGGGTGGCGAGGCCGAGTGTCAGGCCTTAGTTGTTCGTATTCTGCATGTCATGGAGTCTTGGCCCTCATGTGAAGTGCAGTTTACCAATCTCCGTCACCGCAAGGCCAACGAATAAATCCTGTTCGTCAGGGGGGGGGGGTTGTTTTCCGACGCCGGGGGTTTCCGAGGGTCGTTTCACACAAGGCTTCCGCACCATGCCATAACCTGGGCCCGACCATCTCGCGGCTGTTGAGGGGGATGCGGGTGAGTGGGATGCGGGTTGTTGAAATTACAGTGTCGTTTTTCCCGGAATTGGTGGGCGCCGAGAGTTTTCTTTCGGTGGGTCCACTTGTCCCCCAGCCCCCCTGGGCTGAAGGGGGCTGGCGGCATTGTTTTCCTATTCGGAAAATGCGTCCGTGCGTGCCCGCTCGAGGACAGTGCGCCCCCACATCGGATCCTCGATGGATTGATTACTGGGCCGGCAGACGTTTGTCTTTGGTATACCGCTGGCGTGGAGCGTTCTGCGCAGAATCCTCGTGAAGGGTGCGCCACAGCACGAAGAGCAGTTTAGAGACTCATGACCAGCTGATTGGTTCTCCTGTTGCCTGTGTGTTTGTGCCCGCTCAAGGGTGGCGCGCTCCACGCGCAGAGCCCCGAACAGACAGCCGGGTACGGAGGTCCCAGAGGGCCCCAGGAAGCTCCCGGACACCGCAGGAGGCCCTGGGGGCGCAGACCCCGTGTGATTTGCGAGAGGTCGTCCTGGGAGCGCGGGCCCTGCGCAATCTGCGAGGGACCGTGGCCCCTGCGAGCGCGGGCGCAGCGTCATCGGACGGGGTCGTGGCCCGGGGAGCGCGGACGCTGCGTGATCTGCAGGGGGTCCTGGCCCTTTGGGTCGTGGCTCTCGGAGCGCGTGACCCTGGCCCCGGGACCGCGGAAGCAGCGTAATTTACGAGGGCCCTTCGAGCGCGGACGCAGCGTAATTTACCAGGGATCGTGGCCCTGCAAGCGCGGACTACGATCGTACCCCCTTGGGGATACAGGTCTTTCTTTCTGCTTGCAACGTGTATTTCGTGCAGCCCCTGAGGCAGGGGAAGAGGACGGACAGAAGGAAGGGACAAGGGGGAGGGAGGAGGACGGAGCCCGAGAGAGAGAGAGCAGCAGGAGGGGGGCTAAGAGCAGAACAAAAACATGTGGCGGAACAAGACGGGCAGATCGGTGGGTCCTTGCACGGTGAGCGCAGAGGCCGTGCAATTCACAAAGGGATCGTGGCGCTGGCAGTTCGGACCCGGCGTGCTTTGCACGGGATCGTGGTTCTTGGAGCGCGGGCCCGGTGACATGTACGAGGGATCGTTGCCCCGGGAGCGCAGCTCCAGCGGAGACGAGTTGCAGAGAAGGGCGGGTCTCCCCTGACGTACCGTGGCACGTTGCCCTGCACGTCCCCTGGCACGTCCCCCGGCCTGCGCGTCTCCTGGCACGCCTGCGGCGCGTCCCCGGAAACGTTCCGTGGCGCATATCCCATGGCGCGTCCCTTGGCGCTTCCCTTGGCGTGCCACATGGCGCTTCCTTTGGCACGCCCCCTTGGCGCGCCCACCGCCACGCCTCCTGGCACGTTCACTGGCACGTCACGTGGCGCATCCTCTGGCTCGCCTGGCGCGCTCCACGGCTCGTCCTCTGGCGCTTCCCCTGCCACCCCAGTCCGTTCCGTGGCGCATCTCCATGCGTCCCGTGCTGCGTCCACTGGCGGGCCCCCTGGCGCGTACCCTGGGAGGCCCCCTTGCACGCCCCTTGGCACGTCCCGTGGCAGGTCTCTGACACGTCCATGGCACTTCCCCTGATACGTGCCCTGACACGCCCCCCCGGCGCATCCCCTGGTGCGCCCCCTGGCACATCCCGTGGCGCGTCCATGCGTCCTGCGCCCTCCTGTCGGCTGGTCACGCTTCGGAACTGCATCGGATCTGGAGCTCGAGCTGGTTGAGCGCCCCGCACGTTTCGACTACAACTAGATCTGGGCGAGCCAGGCGTCCAGGCACCTCGTTCTGAAGATCCAGAGTAGTTCGGTCAATTGTACCGACGTCGCGGATGCAGCTGATCGTACGAGGGATCGTAGCATTTGGAGTGCGAACCCAGGGTCATGTATTAGGGCTTATGCCGTTGGGAGCGCACAGCGCAACTTACCAAGGATCGCGGCTCTGGGAGTTCGGAGTCAGCTTACATTACACGGGATTGTTGCCCATCGAGTGCGGGCGCAGTGTAAGTGTTAGAGGGAACGTGGCCCTGGCAATAGAGCTCATCACAGTTCAAACCATTACGAAACAGCATAGTTGAGCACGGCACAGCACGCCATAGCGCAGCGCAGAGCAGCACAGCCCTTGGCACGGTATCGTACGAATACCCTTTGCGCGGTCTCGTGGGCCGATCATGGTCGCCCAGGTGACGCTCGTCACGGAGCTCTGCAATAAGGAGCTTGCAGATATTGGGCGGGCCTTTTCCTCTCATCCTTTTCCAACCCCCTTCTTCTCATTTTTCTCTTCCTCCTCCTCCTCCTCCTCCTCCTCCTTCTGTTCGTCCGTCTTCTCCTCCTCCTCCTCCTCCTTCTCTTCCTCCTTCTCTTCCTCCTCCTCCTCCTCCTGCTGCTGCTCCTCCTCCTCCTCCTCCTCCTCCTCTCCCTTCCACCTCCTACCTCCTCCCCACCTCCTTCCCTCCCCCTCCTCTCTTTTCCCTCTTGCCTCCTCCCTCTTCCCCCTCCTTGTCTTTTTTCCCCAGCTGCGCTCGGCCTCCTCCTTCTTCTCCTCTTTCTACTCCTCGTCCTCCTCCTCCTCCTGCTCCTCCTCCTCCTCCTCCTCCTCGTCCTCCTCCTCCTCCTTCCTCCTCTCCTCCTCCTCCTCCTCCTCTCCCTCCTCCTCCTCCTCCTCCTGCTGCGCTGCTGCTGCTGCTGCTGCCTCCTCCTCCTTCCTCCTCCTCCTCTCCTCCTCCTCCCTCCTCCTCCTACTCCTCTCCATCTCCCTCCTCCTCCCCCCTCTCACCTCCCTCCTCCTTCCCTCCTCCTTCCCTCCTCCCTCCTCTCTTTTCCCTCTTGCCCTCTCCCTCTTCCCCCTCCTCGTCTTTTTCCTCACCTGCGCTCGACCTCTTGGTCCTCTTCCCTTCCCACCTTCTACCACCTCCCTCTTCCCCCCCCCCCAGCCCAAGCCGGCTCCTCCTGGGCAGCACCCCGATCCGTTCGCTGGGCCGCGCTCAGCTGCGGCGACGGTCCTCCCGCTTCCCTGGACCTCCTCAGCAGCTCCCCCCCGATGCTCGGGGTGTCACGGGGGGGCTCCCGAGGGGGCCCGAGGAGGAGCCCCAGGGGTTCCGAAGAGGGGGGGAATCGCTCGAGGAGATCCTCGGGAGATCCTCGAGCCTCGAAGCCGAGAGGTGTCGATCCTCGATCCTCGATCCTCGACCCCTCGAGGACAGCTCGGTCCTCGAGCCGATCTCGATCCTCGATCGACCTGGATCGATCTCGACCCTCGATCTGGAGAAGGCCTCGCTCCACGATCCTCGAGCCTCTCCCCTGACACCCCCAGGAGTTCGTGAAGAGGGGCCGCGTCGGCCTGCCCCCGGGCTCCCTGCGCTTCCGGCCGTCTTGGGCGTCGCGCAATGGGGGGGCGATGAGCTGGGGGGGCAGCAGGCGCTGCCGGAGAGGGGCTCCGTCGGGCCCCCAAATGGGGCCCTTGATGGGCCCGAGGAGTGCACAATTTCGGGGGCCACATGCGAGCCCTACCCCTTCCCCCCACGATTTTTGAGGGGGAGGGTGGGGCTCACTTCGCTCGGGAGCTCCCGAACGAAGGCCCCCCCCCCCCCATTGATCGCCCCTCCCATCAAGCGACGCCCAGCCGTCGGGCGGCAACACGCCGAAGTACTTGGACAGCGCGGCCTCGCAGATGATGATGTCGTTCGGGCAGGACTCTCCGGCCCGACTTACGCTGCACCTTCGGGTGGCCTAGTCTGTCCCGCCAACTGCGGCCTTTTCTGGTGCTCGGCGCGGGTCCGACGCGGTTTCTGGACGGATTTGACGTGGATTCGGCGTCGCTTCGGCGCGGGCTCGACGCGGATAGCTGGCGCGATGGCACAGGGGTCCCCCGAAGATGCAACGCAAGACAGACCTCTCTCTTCTCTCCTTTTGTCTCGCCGCGCCCGTCAAAGCTTCCTCGGTGGTGAGCGACGGGAGAAAGTGAGAAGGGGCGGGCCTTCTCAGAAGGCTCAGAAGACATCCCGGCCTTCTGAGAAGTTTTCTAAGCCTTCCCCGAAGACACTGAAAATTTTTCAGAAGGCACGAGGGCTTCCGAGACGTCCCGCCGCCTTCTGAGAAGGCCTTCCCCTTCTCGTTTTCCCCCCCTCGCCCGCCGCCAGCTACCTCTTCTCCCTCCCCAGACCCCCTCGCCTCGTGAGAAAGGGGTGCGACGGTAGTTGTTGTCGCCATTTTCATCCTCCAGGGGGACCTTCGCGGGGCCCAAGGACCGTCAGCAGAACAACTCAGGATGAAAAACCTAGGAGGCTACATGCGAACCCTACCCTTAAGTCGGGCGTGTCCCCCTACAGGGGGATTTTCGACGAAAAATAAAGAATACTCAAAAAATATTCCAAAATGGCAAAACATATTCAAGGAATAGTCCCCAGACTTTTTGTTGGGACAATTTTTGGGGTATTTTTGATTTCGTTGAAAATCCCCCTGTAGGGGGACAGGCCCGACTTAACCCTACCTCACCTCCCCACGATCTCTAAGGGGGAGGGCGGGGTTCACTTCGTTGGGGACCTCGCGAGAGAAGTGAGCCCCACCTCCCCGCTCAGAAATCGTGGGGAGGCGAGGTAGGGTTCGCATGTGGCCTCCTAAAGCCGGTGCTGGGGAATGGGTCGAGACCTCTGGGGGTCGACGTTGGGAACAAATCATGACGTCGGGGGTCTGGGTCCTCGGGTTCGAGCCTTCAGGCTAGCTGCAGCGACAACCCTCGGCTTTCGGGTCGGGGTCACCAGGAGGTCTCCGGCAACGCCGGAGCTGCCCTGGGGGTCCGAGCCTGGGACTGTTGCGCGCCCATCGCTTCGGGAGCCGATCTCCCAGGACATCGGGAGGCGGCGGACGTGGACATATTCAGGCCACTTGGGGCCCAAAGGTCTTCATATCCACTGCCTGCTGGGGTCCTGGACCATCGGTGGAGATGTATGAGTCTTGTCGCTGTAAGGGGAGGATGGGAGACGAGGAGGACGAGGGCCGAGGCTTTTTGACGTTCTTGGCCCTCGTTGGGCTTTTGCCCTCTGGCTCGGGGGTCCTCCACAGACCACCACAGCCTCCGGGCAGGAGGAGGGGGGACGTGGCAACACACGCGCGGGCAACCGCGCAGGCCTAGTTGGTCAGTGGCTCGGGCAGTGCTCTGTGGATCGCACTGCCCTGTGCCCCTGTTCAGCCAGCTGGATTTGGCGCTGCTCCTGGTTCAACCGACCCTGATATTATCAGCGCTTGTGTGCTGCGGGAGGCGGAGCAGGGGCGGGGAGGGGCCACCGCTGCTCTGTGTTCTCGTGCCCTGGGATGGCTCAAGCATCGCGACGGCAGGCACATGATCTGAAACAAGTGCTGTCCAGGCTCTGGCCCGCCCCTAGACTCTGGGAGTTCCTCCCTCCTCCTCCTCCTCCTCCTCCTCCTCCTCCTCCTCCTTCTCCTCCTCTTCCTCTTCTGGACCTCTGGATGGTGGCAGTTCTTGTGCATAGTAATGATGCCATCGTCCTCTTCCTCCTCCTCTTCCTCCTCCTCGTCCGCCTCCTCCTCCTCCTCCTCCTCCTCCTCCTCCTCTTCCTCCTCCTCTTCCTCCTCCTCCCTCCCCTCATCATCTGCCTCCTCCTCCTCCTCCTCCTGCTGCAGCTCCCTCCCCTCATTCTCCTCTCCATCCTCCTCCCCCGCTGCCTCCTCCTCCCCTCATCCTCCCTCCCCTCCCTCTTCTCATCCTCCTCCTTATCCTCCTCGTCCGCCGCCGCCGCCGCGCGCCCGCCGCCGCCGCCGTCGTCGTCGTCGTCGTCGTCGTCGTCGTCGTCGTCGTCGTCGTCGTCGTCGTCGTCGTCGTCGTCGTCGTCGTCGTCGTCGTCTCGTCGTCGTCGTCGTCGTCGCCGTTGCCGCCGTCGCCGTCGTCGTCGTCGTCGTCGTCGTCGTCGCGTCGTCGTCGCCGCCGTCGTCGTCGTCGTCGTCGTCGTCGTCGTCGTCGTCGTCGTCGTCCGTCGTCGTCGTCGCGTCGTCGTCGTCGTCGTCGTCGTCGTCGTCGTCGTCGTCGGTCGTCGCGTCGTCGTCGGTCGTCGTCGTTCGTCGGCGTGTGCCGCCGTCGTCGTCGTCGTCGTCGCGTCGTCGTCGTCGTTCGTCGTCGTCGTCGTCGTCGTCGTCGTCGTCGTCGTCGTCGTCGTCGTCGTCGTCGTCGTCGTCGTCGTCGTCGTCGTCCGCCGCCGCCGCCTTCGCCGCCGCTGCCTTCGCCGCCGCCGCCGCCCCGCTGCCGTCGTCGTCGTCGTCGTCGTCGTCGTCGTCGTCGTCGTCGTCGTCGTCGTCGTCGTCGTCGTCGTCGTCGTCGTCGTCGTCGTCGTCGTCGTCGTCGTCGTCGTCGTCGTCTCGTCGTCGTGGTCGTCGTCGTCGTCGTCGTCGTCGTCGTCGTTGTCGTCGTCGTTCGGCGATCGAGGTTCGAGTTTCGATGAGATTTTTCATGGTGTTCGGCCTCTGGAGGCTGTTTTCGGGCTCGGGGACGGTCAAAAACCGAGAGTGATTTTGAGCCGATTTTGGTCCTCGTCGTCGTCGTTGTGGAGGAATCTCAGCCTTGCAGACTGTCGATCCCCCATCCCTCTCCCACAACTGCAGGCGCGCACCGCCCGGGGAGCGGCGGCGACGGCGGCGGCGGGGGCGGCCACGACGACGACTACGACGACGACGACGACGACGACCACGACGACGACGACGACGACGACGACGACGACGACGACGACGGCGGCGACGTCGGCGGGGGCTGGGGCTGCCTTGGGCCCTCTTGGGCCTGCACAATTTGGACATCCGTGTCCAGATTGTCTTGGCCGCCGGTTCTTGAGGCTTCGGCGGGGGGCAATCGATTTTTCTGGGCGGCGCAGCGGGCGGCACCTTGAAGTGTCCCACGGCGCCCGGACAATTTGCACATCCATGCCCAGTTTGCCCGGAGACGGTTTGGGCCCTCGTGGGGCCATCTTGGGGCCATCCTGGGGCCAACTTGGGGGGGTCGACCCTTGAAATAAAATTAGCACACAGGACTGAGGGCTTCAGGGACCTGAGGACTGAGGGCCCCGAGGACCTGATGATGATGGTGATGATGATGATGATGATGGTGGTGATGATGATGATGATGATGATGACGATGACGATGATGATGGTGATGATGATGATGATGATGATGATGATGATGATGATGATGATGATGATGATGATGATGATGATGATGATGATGATGATGACTACGGCGATGATGGTGATAATGGTGGTGGTGATGACGACGTCGGAAAGTATGAGGAATATGATGAGGAGGAATGATACGGAAACGCCGGTCTGAGCACTTCATGGGCTCGACCACCTGGAGTGGTAAGTTTCGCTGCTGCTTTTCCCCAGGGTTCTGGAGCCCTCGGGGCCTGGGGGGGCCCCAAAACGGATCCGAGGCCTCAAGTTTTTTCCGGCTCACGACCGACGACCGGCGACCGGCGACGACGACGACGGGCATGAGTTACTTGGCGCCCCCCCCTGGGAGCATCGGGTAACTGGGGGGTGCGCTCCACACCCCCCACTTACCCGGTGTCCCCCGGGGGACATCCGGTAACTCGACCTTGGAGGCAGGTGTTGGGTACGAGTTGCCCGGTGGAGACGGGGGGCATCGGGTAACTCGACCATGCATGGGGGGTGTCGGGCATGAGTTGCCCGATGTCCCCCGGGAGACATCGGGTAAACGGGGGGTGCGCTCCACGCCCCCCACTTAGCAGGTGTCCCCCGAAGGGCATCGGGTAAGTCGACCTTGCAAGGGGCGCATTCGGCATGATTCGGTGTCCCGCGCGAGACATCGGAGTTACCCGGTTGTCCCCGGGGGACATCGGGTAACTCGACCCTGCAGGGGGGGGGGGTCTGGATATATGAAGAACCCGGTGGTCCCCCGTGCGGACATCGGAGTTACCCGGTGGTCCCCGTGGGACATCGGCCCGTGGGACATCGGAGCTACCCGGCGTTCCCCGTGGGACATCGGAGTTACCCGGTGGTTCTCGTGGGACATCGGCCCGTGGGACATCGGAGTTACCCGGTGTCCCTGGGGGACATCGGGTAACTCGACCTTGCAGGAGGGGTTTGCGCATGAATTACCCGGTGTCCCCCGTGGGACATTTGAGTTACCCAGTGTCCCTGTGTGGGACATCGGAGTTACCCGGTGGTCCCCGTGGGACATCAGCCCGTGGGACATCAAAGTTACCCGGTGTCTCCCGTGGGACATCGGAGTTACCCGGTGGTTTCCGTGGGACATCAGCCCGTGGAACATCGGAGTTACCCGGTGTCCCCCGTGGGACATCGGAGTTACCGGGTGGTTTCCGTGGGACATCGGCCAGTGGGACATCGGAGCTACCCGGTGGTCCCTGGGGGGCATCGGGTAACTCGACCTTGCAGGGGAGGGTCTGGGCATGAGTTGCCCGGTGGTCCCGGTGGTACATCGGAGTTACCCAGTGTCCCCCGTGGGGCATCACGACGACGACGACGACGACGTCGACGACGACGTCGACGACGACGACGGCAACTTTCCCATGTGTTTTCCCCGTGCGGCTCCGCCCTGATGAGTCAAAAACCCAGAGGGATTTGAACATTTTTGCGTTGGAGCCCTTGCCTCGGCGCGTTGGCGGTGAATGCGCGCGACAAGCGCTTTCGGTTGCAATGTGCAAAAACACAGTTGTTGTTGCCCGTTCAGGGGGGGCTCACGGGAAAAACACATGGAATTCGACGACGACGACGACGACGGAGGACGACGACGACGACGACGACGACGACGACGACGACGACGACGACGACGACGACGACGACGACGACGACGACGACGACGACGACGACGACGACGACGACGACGACGTGACGACGACCTCTTGGAGCCGTCTTGGGGCCGTCTCTGGGCCCTCTGGGCATCGTCTGGGTCACCGATCTCGGGGCTTTGTTGGGATCGTATTGGGGCACCCTGGGGCCCTCATGGGCTTTTCGCAGGGCCCTCCGGCGGTACTTCTCAGGGCCCTCAGGCGGAGCCCAAAAAGGCTTCGAGAGGGCTCCAAGTTATGTACCAACCGAGGGCCCGCTGGTACATAACTCCTGGGCTTCTGTTGGGGCCATCTTGGGCCCCTCCTGGAGCCGTCTTGGGGCCCTTTGGGGGCCCCCTCGGCTACTTCTCAGGGCCCTCGAGGGCCCTCTGGGCCCCCAGGGGGCTCCAGGATGGCTCCACGAGGGGCCCAAGATGGCCCCAAAGAGGGGCTCAGTAATTATGTACCAACCGAGGGCCCCCTGGTACATAACTCTTGGGCTTCTCTTGGGGCCATCTTGGGCCCCTCCTGAGCCGTATTGGGGCTCTCTGGCAGCTCGCTCGGGGGCTTCTCGGGGTCCCGAGGGAGGAAGAGGAGGAGGAAGAGGACGAGGGGAGGCAGGAGGAGCTGCAGGAGGAGGAGGAGGAGAAGGAGGAGGAGGCAGAGGATGAGGGGAGGGAGGAGGAGGAGGAGGAGGAGGAGAGGAGGAGGAGGAGGAGGAGAGGAGGGAGAGGAGGAGGAGGAGGAGGAGGCGGATGAGGAGGAGTAAGAGGTGGAGGAAGAGGACGATGACATCAATTTTTCGCACAAGAACTGCCACCATCCAGAGGAGGAAGAGGAGGAGGAGGAGGAGGAGGAGGAGGAGGGAGGACCCCCCAGAGTCTGGGGGCGGCCCAGAGTCTGAACAGCATTTGTTCAGATACACGAATGCGTACAAGGATCTGGCACGGAGAGAATACGTCGCAAGCACATGCCTACCTCCCATCCCCAAACAGCCCTTCACGATTACAGCTCTACTTTGAGGCCGTACCCAGCATATGAGGTGGAGGAGGCCGAGCCAGATGAGGACCCAGAGGCGGGGGGGGGGGCGGGAGGCGGAGGAGGAGAGGGAGGGAAGGGACGAGCAAGCGAGCGATCCTCCTCCTCGCCCATCGCCCTTCCTCTCTCGTCACTCCTCCCCTCGCTCCCCCCTGGCTTCGCCGGTGCCTCTTCAGGCATGCACGCCTGCCTTGGCCCAACTGCTGCCCGTGCCGTGGACCGACGCTGGCGCAGCCCAGGGGGCCCAGCGCGGCGGGCGGCTGGCGCGCGCCGCCCGCACGCAGCGGGCTGGGCCAGGACGTCGACCTGATCCAGTCGTTCTTCTTCGCCATGGCGGAGGTGCCCCGCCTGCCCGGCGGGGAAGGGGCGGGAGGCAGGGGGGGAGGGCAAGCTAGGTGCGCTCGCGTCATATCTGACGTCCTACCCCTCCCTCCCATCCCTTACCATGGCGCTGATTTTCTCTATCCGCGGACGCGTGTCGTAGCGGACTTGTGGCTCCGCGCGCGCGTGCGTAGTGGGTGGTGGTGCGCGTGCGTGCGTGCGTGCGTGCGTGCGTGTGTGGTTGTGGTGGTGGTGGTGGTGGTGGTGGTGGTGGTGGTGGTGGTGGTGATGGTGGTGCTGGTGGTGGTGGTGGTGGTGCTGGTGGTGGTTGTGGTGGTGGTGGTGGTGGTGGTGCGGCGCGGTGGTGGCGGGCGGATGGGCGCGCGAGAAAGAGGCCCGCGCTGGGGCGAGAACGCCATCCTGAACGACGGAGGCCAAACACCGATCCGAAAATGAGGCCCACGCTGCAGCGGGAGCACGATTCGGAACGATTCGGGAGCAGAAATGAGACCGGCGCCTCAGCGAGAGCAGCATTTTGCAAACAAACACAAGCGAAAACCCGTTTCCCGAGACTCTTGTGTGTAAAAAAACGATACGCGGCGGGTTTCGGATATTTTCGGGACGCCATCAGGGGAAGTGGGAGAGTATTTTCATATTGTGTAATTGTGGAGGGGGGCGGCGGGAGGAGGAGGATGGATGGAGGGATGGAGGGATGGGCCGCAGATGGGAGGGATGGGGGGGGGATGGGGTGGGCCGCAGGTGATGGCGGTGGTGGTGGCGAGGACGACAGACGACGACGATGAGGATGAGGATGAGGATGAGGATGCTGCTGGGGATGATTATTCTGGTGGTGGTGGTGGTGATGCGGATGGTGATGGTGAGGATGATGGTGATGGCGACGGCGATGGCGATGGTGATGGTGATGAGGGTGCTGCTGCGGCTGCTGCTGCTGTCCATGAAGAAGTCGATGCTGATGCTGATGATGATGACGATGCTGCTGCTGATGATGATGCTGGTGGTGGTGGTGATGATACTGCTGCTGATGAGGGTGATGGTGATGGTAATGCTGATGATGATGACGATTCTGCTGCTGCTATGACGACGATGATGCTGATGATGCTGATGCTGGTGATTATGATGCTGATGATGGTGCTGATGCTGATGCTGATGAAGCTGAGGATGATGCTGATGATGATAACGATGATGATGACGATGATGATGAAGATGAGGGCGAGGACGAGGACGAGGACGAGGGCGACGTCGACGACGACGACGGCAGAGCCGCTCTGGGACATACATATCTAACGATCGGTACAATCGTGCATGCAACAGAGACCAGTCACATTGGCACAGGGACACACAGGACCGCTTCAACTCACCTCATCAACGACAGGATCCTGTAAACCTCCCGAGCCCCGTGTCCCGCCCATGGGGCCTTGTTGGGGATCACCGCCTCGCACGCGCAAGAGAAATGCAAGTACTCCGACGCACGGGATCACGCCGCGTATGCCTGAGAAGTCACAGGACAGAAGTTCTGAAGCCTGCTTCGAGCACTTACTGGTGACGGCATCACGCATCCAGGGCTCAAGCTCCTCTTGAACCGCCTAACTTTGAGTAATGTAGCCGCGCGTGATCAGAGCATCAAGGAACAGGGCCAGTTTGGCATCTACCTCAGTGGTCGACGGTATGTTGAACCAGGGCGCAGATCCCAAAATACCGCACCCGTCTCCTCACTTCAATGATCGATGGAGTTGCCTTCTGCTATCCTTTCTATTGGGCGGCTTGGAGCCCAATTTACTTTACCCGCTTTCCTACGCCATGCTTACCTTTTTCCAGCGGCATTCCATCTTTCCCCAACCAGTTCTTGCAGTAGGGCTATGACCTCTACTACCTAAGGCATTTGTGGATTCGTCGTGTGGGGCAGGGGCTGGGGCCGAACGTGTGGCTCTGACGGGGCCATGCGGGCAGAGCCTGGACGCCGGGGAGGTGGGCGGGCGAGGCAAGGGGCAATCCATTCGGGGAGCGGGCCGCCTACCCGGACCACACGCGTTAGACGCCGCTGCGCGCGCAGCATGCGTCGCGCCCGTCGCTGACTCCTCTGGCTAAGCGCGGCGGGATTTGAATCCGCTATTAGCGCGGGCCGCTGCCGATGGCCACAGACCACGATGCGATCTTTCGGGCCCCCCCAGGTGAGTTCGGCCATGATGACCGCGAGGCGCCAAGCACTTTTGACCACTTGACGTTCGTACCTGGGGCTTTCGTCTGCGCGGCGCGTCCGTGGCCGGGCCAGGGGGCGCCGAGGACTGGCGTGGCAAGAGGCCCCCAAGAGGGTTCAAGAGGCCCACAAGAGGCATTCAAGATGCCCCGAGAGGCCACCAAGAGCCGACAAGAGGCCCCCACGACGCCCCAGGCGGCTTCAAGAGGCCCCCAAGTGACATCCCACGAGACTCCGAGAAGCATTTAAACAGCCTCTGTCCCACAACGGCCCCCTGAGCTTTCCACGTGATGCAACGCTTCCCCGAAAGGGGCAACTCCCTTGGGCAACGTTTCTGGAATCGGCTGGGAGCGTAGAGAATTGACGCATCGCCCGTGGCTCGCTGGAGCAGATCTGGTCCGTGGCCCGTGCACTCTGTGCCCTGTGGCCCGTGGCCATCGTGGCCTGTGGCCCACGGGGCCCACGTTTCCTCGCAGGCTGATCTCTCCTAGGGTAAGACAACAAAAACGCACGCACGCCAGCGCCGTCGAGAAACGGCCCGGGGCCTGTCGAACAACTTCTCGGCTGATTGGGGGCTGGGCCAGGGGGTCTGGACGGGAGGAAGCTAGAGGGGGGGGTTGAAAGGTTCGAGAAGGCAGGGTGAAAGACAACGGCCTGAGCGTCTGTCAATCCTGGAGGCTCGCCCGATTCATTGCTCAACCCTATCGGCCCGCTCAGCCTGGGTTGCATCGGCGTGCGGCGTCGGTCGATAGTTTAGCTGCCCAGTCCTGTTGCTGTTCTTGGCCGCCTTTTCAACTCGGCGGGACACGGGCGGCGGGTGGATTCAGGAATTCCGAGACCCAGCCTCAGCTCCAAGATTCGGCGCCGGAGTTCGGGAGTTTGCTGCGTCCGAGCCGTCGGCGTCTGCAGACTGCAGTGGCCAGGTCAGCACCTCAGCCCTTCAGCGCGCGCAGCAGGGCGGCACGAGCGCACCAGGCCGCACCTGGAGGAACGCGACGCTCACGAGGACAAGTGCAGTCGTTTTCCCCTCGGAGGGGGGTGCCCGTGCCGAGGATCTGCCGAGTTTTCGCCCGGCGTGCGGGCGCGGGCGCCTCGCGTGCGCCCCGTGCGCCTGGGCGGGGTCGCCGAGGTTTCGCCTGTTGGGCGCCTCGTCGGCGCCTCGTGTGCGCCACCGTGCGCTGGGCGGGCTTGCCGGGCCGGGGCGGGTCTGCCGAGGTTTCGCGCGGAGGGCGGGCGTCGGCGCTGCGTGTGCGCCATGGGCGCCTGGGTGGGCTTGCCGAGGTTTCGCCTGCTGGGCGGCCGCGAGGCGCCTCGTTGCGCCCCGTGCGCTGGGCGGGGTTGCAGAGGTTTCGCCCCGTGGGCGTCTGGTGGCGGCGCCTTGTGGGCTCCCCGGCGCTGCTTGCGATACACCGCCTGCGGTAAGATGCCTGCACCTCTTTGCTTACACCGTTTAGCTTGCACCACGTAGCTGTCGCCACATAGTTACACCACGTAGCCTGCACTGCTCATAGCTTGCACCACATTGCGTTCACCCCCTTGCTTGCACCACACAGCTTTTACCGCACTGAGCGGGCGCCACCTTGCAGCGCGCACAGCTTGTAACATATTTTGCACCACGTAGCTTACACACCCAGGGTGCAACAGCTCCTGGTTTTGGTTTCTCGCTAGCGGACATGTTGCCCACTGTTACATTGTAGGCTTTACGTTTACTGGCATTTGTTCGTCGTCAGGTTTCCATGTTCTGATGCATGTGCTCGCATCTCGTAGGTTGGCTTGGGCGCCGCTCGGAGCTTGGCTGGCTAAGGGCATGTAGCTGTAATCAGTCGGAGAAGAAATTCCTTCCGCGCCTGCCCAGCGTTGCGCAAGGCCACCATGTTCGAATCTGAGGGCGCCTGCTTCTACTGGGCAAGCGTCGAGAGGCCAGACTTCCTGGCCTTTGGCCTAGCGCCTGCCCGATGATGAGGAGGCGGAGAATAGGAGGAGGAGGATGCGGAGGAGAAGTGGGAGACAGAGGGCGTCTCTAAGGCCACCCCAGAGGTCTTGGGAGGTCTTCGCAGATGTGCTGGGAAACTTCTGGACGTTTTTTGGAGGCCGCCATCTATCTGCCCGGAGGGTCCAAGAATGCCCCAACAGTTGGATCCGCGAATCCCGTAGCCTTGAAGGCTGGATGAGGAGGAGGAGCATAGCAGGCTTGTGGGAGGGGTGTCCAGGGGAGCTAGGGTTGGGAGGATCGGTGCCGAGCGGAAGCGGGAACATCGGTTGGGGAGGGTGGGAGCGGGGCTGGGTGGATCGGATCCGACCTTCAGCTGCAGGCGACTCGAAGGCTGGATGGGGATCGAGGACGCGCAAACATAGATCATGGCGCGTGGATTAGCGACGGGCCCCGTTTCCATGCGAAATCGGCGCGCTGCGTCTCCAAATTAGGCTGTCCTGGCCGCGTCGTGTTTCGGGGGTGCCTTTCCCTATCATTGTATCTGTTGCCCACGCGCCCGATCCACGGATCGATGATCCATTTTAACGTGCGCCCAATCGGAGGAAGAGGAGGAGGAAGAGGAGGAGGAGGAGGAGGAGGAGGAGGAGGAGGAGGAGGAGGAGACGGAGGACGATAAGGAGGAGGAGGAGGATGAGAAGGAGGAGCAGAGGACGGAGCGAGAGTGGGAGAGAGGGGAGGAGGAGGAGGCGGAGCAGGAGGAGGAGGAGGAGGAGGAAGAGGAAGAGCAGAGAAGGGAGGGTGTCCGAACGAGAAGGAGAGAGGCAGAGGAGGGATAGAGGTAGAGGAGGGGGAGGGAGGGGAGGATGCGGGAGGGAGGTAGGGAGGAGGAGGAGGATGAGGAGGATGAGGACGAGGATGAGGATGTGGATGCGGATGAGGATCATGATGATGCTGTTGCTGATGATGCTGCTGCTGATGATGCTGATGCGGATGATGATACTGACGATGCTGACGCTGATGATGATGATGATGATGATGATGATGATGATGATGATGAGGAGGAGGAGGAGGATTCGGATGCAGACGATGATGATGCTGATGAAGGTGATATAGATGTTGATGACGATGAGTTTGTATTGATATTGATGGGGGTGATGATGCTTATTATGACGATGGTGATGCTGCTGCTGATGATGAGGAGGAGGATACGTTGGATGATGATGATGCTGCTGCTGCTGATGACGATGCTGATGATGATGCTGCTGCTGATGATGCTGATGGTGATGATGCTGATGGTGCTGATGAGGAGGAGGATGATGAGGCGAAGCATGAGGTTGATGAGGAGGAGAAGGCGGAGGAGGAGGCGAATGATGATGATGATGATGATGCTGATGATGATGATGATGATGATGATGATGATGATGATGATGATGCTGATGATGCTGATGCTGATGATGATGATGATGATGATGAGGATGAGGAGGAGGAGGAGGAGGAGGAGCGGGAGGAGGAGAAGTATGATGCTGATGATGATGCTGATGATGATGATGAGGAGGATGCGGAGGCCCAGGATGAAGAGACGGTGGAGGAGGAAGGAGAGTGAAGAGGACCAGCACTAACATTTCGCAGGAGCAGCACCGTCAGCCTTCGCGAGGGGCATGCATCAAAGGTTGGTGGGGGACTTTGCCGATTGGGGGGTGACCCCTCACCTTGCCTCCGTCTCTCCCTGCCAATCCCTCCTCCCCCTCATCCCCATCCTCCTCATTCACCTCCCCCATCCTTCTTGTCCTCCTCGTCGTCCTCCTCCTCCTCTTCACCTTCCTCCTCCTCCTCGTCCTCCTCCTCACCTTTCGAATGGCCTTAGGGTGTCACAGGCTCACGCTGCAGCGGGCTGCCAGTCCCCACGAGAGCAAGCCAGCGGATCACCGCCCAGCGCCAGCCATGTAAACTGCGCTTCGCCGCCCTCTCCTGCCTAAGCCGTCGCACCCTGGTTCTCCTGCTGCTGGGCTTTCTGCTCCCAATCCTCTTCCTAGGAACCATGTGCCCCAGCAGGCGAGAGTCGTGAACGTACTCCCCCCCCTCCTCCCCATCCTCCTTTCCCCTTCCCCTCCGTGTCCGCTTCTCCTCCCTATCCTTCTGATCCAATGTTTCTTCCGCCTCATCCTCCTCCTCCGTTCCTCGGCCTCCAGCCTATCCCTCTCTCCACTTCCTCCTCCTCCTCCTCCTCCTCCTCCTCCTCCCTCCTCCTCCTCCTCCTCCTCCTCCTTCCTCCTTCCTCCTCCTCCTCCTATTTCTCCTCCTGCTCCTCCTCCTCCTCCTGCTCCTCCTCTTCCTCCTCCTGCTCCTCCTCCTCATTCCTCCTCCTCCTGCTCCACCTCCTCCTCCCTCCTCCTCCACCTCCTCCTCCTCCCCTCCTCCTCCTCCTCCTATTTCTCCTCCTGCTCCTCCTCCTCCTCCTTCTCCTTTCGGTCCTCTGCCTCCAGCTTCTCCCTCCCTCCTTCTCCTCCTCCTGCTGCTGCTGCTCCTCCTTCTCCTGCTGCTGCTGCTCCTCTTCCCCTCCTCCCTCCCTCTCCCTCCTCCTCACCCCTCCTCCCCCTCCTCCCCCTCCCCCTCCTCCCCCTCCTCCTCCTCCTCCTCCTCCTCCTCCTCCTCCCTCCTCCTCCTCCCTCCTCTGCTCGGCCGTCCGCACCCAAATCATCTTAAAGTGCTGTCCGTTGGCCGTGCCTGAGGGGCTGGGGCTCAGCATGGCGCACGGGGCCGCCTCCTCACTCCACCGTCCTTTCTCATTCCTCGTCCTCCTGCCAATCCCACCTCCCCCCTCCCCCCCTCTCCTCCCTCTCCTCCTCCTCCCTCCTCTCCTCCTCCTCCTCCTCCTCCTCCTCCTCCTCCCTCCTCCTCCTCCTCCCCCTCCTCCCTCCTCCTCCTCCTCCTCCTCCCCCTCCTCCCTCCTCCCCCTCCTCCTCCTCCTCCTCCTCCTCCTCCTCCTCCTCCTCATCCTTTTCCCTGTCGCCACCTCTTGCTTGTTTCTCCCTCCTCCTCCTCCTCTCCTCCTCCTCCTCTTCCTCCTCCTCCTCCTCCTCCTCCTCCTCCCTGGTGTATCCCTCTCTCCTCCTTCCTTGGTCCTCCATGATTGCTCTGCTGCCGCTCCTCGACTCCGTGCCGCCGAGGTCTTCGGGTTCAACATGTCGCACATCGCAATGATTATATCAGAGGCTCTCGAGATCCCCACCGTTGGATTCTTCTTACAGCCCACGCGCAAGGTGGAAACGGAACACCATGCTGAGTGGGCTGTTGATGATGTGATGTCGGTGATGTTGATGACGATGCTGCTGCTGGTGATGCTGATGCTGACGCGCATGCTGATGTTGATGATGCTGATGCCGATACCCGTGCTGATGATTCTGATGATGCTGATGCGGATGGTGATGCTGCTGCTGCCGATGCTGCTGCTGATGATGATGATGTTGCTGATGCTGATGATGATGATGCTGTTGCTGCTGCAGATGATGATGCAGAAACTGAGGAGGATGACGAGGCGGAGCAGGAGACACAGTCATTCGAGGAGTGTGGTTGCTTGCTATGGGAGGGAGGGGGATTGAGTCTGCTCGGCTGGGTGCCCGGGAGAGCCGCGGTTCAAGGCTCGCTCGCTTCCCGCTGAGATAGCGTGTTGGCTACACGTGTTACTGATCATGAACTCCATCACCTGCGATCCTCGATCCGACAGCATTGGGTGTCGTCGTCACCGCGTTCACATCACAGCGGGGCACACGGATGAAGCTTCTGATTATGATGCCGATTTTGGTGATGATGCGTTTGATGATGCTGATGATGATGCTGATGCTGATGCTGCTGGTAATGCTGATGATGAGGATGATGCTGCTGCTGAGGATGAGGATGATGAGGATGAGGATGGTTATGCTGATGAGGAGGAGGCGGATGATGAGGAGGAGCAGGAGGGCGGACGTGGAGGACGAGAAGGCGCAGGAGGAGGAACAGGAGGATGAAAAGAGGAGAGTCAGACACCACATAGTGAACGAGGAGGGGTACTTGGGAGAAGGTGCGTGGAGGGGGTGAGGATGAGCGGGTGGCTGGGTGAGAGGGGTAAGGATGTGCAGGGAGACGGAGACGCGGATGAAGACGGGTGGCATGTAGAGTGCCCGCGACGCGTTCGGGGGGTTGTTCTCAGCTCGTGGTTCTACGTTTGCGATCTCCGATGGCCGCACTCTCTGGCTGTCCCTGCTGCTGCGGCTCCCCCGCCTCCTTACATTCCCTGCCTCCAGCTCCCCTGTCTCGTCTTCCGTGTCCGTCTTCTCCTCCTCATCCACCCCGTTTCCTCAGAAGTAAAGCTTCTCGTTGTCGCACCCTCAGGTGCGCCAGTAGGGCGGGCTGGACGTTTCGCCTGCCTCTTCCACCAATCATGGCCCTGGAGCTTGAACGTTGCAACAGTTTCACTGATGGAGGGCGGGTGGATCAAACCAGGCGCCCGCCTCAGCGCCGCGCACATTCGTTTACCAGCTCGCATTCGTTGCAATGGTGGAGGGCGGTTCCCTTTCAAACTGTGGCTTTCGCGCTATTGCGCCGCGCACATTTGTCTTAGAGTGTTGCAGCAATGACAATACTTGATGGCTGCTCCTTTTCAAAGTGCGGCTCTCGCTTTAGCGCCGCGCGCACTTGCTTCAGCTGCTTGCAGCAGTTCCAAGGATTCATATAGCTGGGGTTCCAGGGCCGGGGTTCTGGCACGATTTAGGCTTGTCAGGGCGCAACAGCCATGTTGATTAGTGTTGCCGATGTGCCAGGCGTGGTGTTCTGACATGATCCAGCGTTGTCAGGGGGCAGGCGTCACGTTGGTTCGCGGCGTTGAAACCACAGGAGCCGTGTGATGTCAAGACTCGAAAGGTGGTTTTCCAATGGGGCATGTCCCGCAATGAAGACACATTCGGGTAGGGACCTTTGAAGAGGGAACTTGGAGGGACGGTTCATTGCAACACCGTTAATGCGTCTTGGGTTTAAGTACGCTGGTCCTTCTCCTCCTCCTCCTCCTCCTCTCCCCTCTCCTCGAGTGTCGAGGAGTAGAGGATCGATGTGTTTGACGCTTTGGGCTTGTTCTGCCCTGCTCCTCCTTCTCCTCCTCCTCCTCCCTCCTCCCTCCTCTTCCGTCTCCTCCCCCCTCCTCTTCCGTCTTCCTCCGCCTCCTCGAGGGTCGGGGATGACGGGGATCGAGGTGTCCGACGCTCTAGGCCTGCTTTGCGCCTGCACAGGCCTCAAGAGATCTCCTCCATTTTCTCCTCCTCCTCCTCATTCTCCTCACGCCGCTTCCCGTTCCGTGTTCGTTTCGATCGATATTTGATGGCGTTGAGTCGGCTGGATCGTCCAGGACATAATTAGTTCATTCGTGGTCGCCCACTGTTTCTCCACGACGCCTTTGAAGTCGGTTGCCGTGTGATTGCGTGGGGCCAGCCATTCCTTCTGCACCTGGGCCCAACGCGTCCCGCAGCCACCCTCATGCTGCATTTCACAAGTAGGCGTTGGGGTCACTGGTCGGCGACTTGGATCTGTCACGTGATGCGAATCGGGGAAGGAGTAGGAGGAGGAGGAGGAGGATGAGGAGGATACAGCGAGAAGGAAGAGGAGGGGGATTCGGTGGGGAGGGGGGAACTTCGCATCACGTGACGAAATCCCTCTGCCTAACTGGCGTGGTGGAGCAGCCTTGAACCTCGCTGTGATAGCTACGGAGTCCTCGTGCTGTATTGCTCGAAACGTCCACTGACCCAGGCTCAAGGCTGGCGTTTTATATGTTTAAGCGTGTCGCATGAGCTCATCGGCCTTGGGCCATCCTCTGCAACTGCTCGGGAAATATGTTTTTCGGCGACTGAGTGCCTGAACCCTGGGTCTGCCTGTGCGGATATCCGGAAACGGAACGGAGGAGGACGAGGGGAGGGAAGACGAGGAGGAGTGAGGAGAAGGAGGAGGAGGAGGAGGAGGAGGAGGAGGTGGAAGAAGAAGGAGGAGAAGGCGGGCATGCACACGTTGTACGTTTAACCAGAGGGTTTCGATCGGGCGCTGGGGCTCATCCACCCCGGTCTCAACCGGCCTCTCGCATCCTCCGCAACCGTCGGCACAGTGTGCCGTGCGCAAGTTCCGAGCCGTGCAAGGTGGAGAACCGTAAGCACGCACTGAGCTTCATAGACGAGGTCCTCATGCCCTTCCGCGAGAAGGTCAACGGCACGACCTTCAACGCCGTGCTGATGCAGGTGTTCGACCAGGTGAACACAACGGGAGAGAGCATGTATCATAGATGCCTACGGCGAAGCACCGCCGCCCCCCTGCCTTTCGGAAGCGCTCCTGCGGCCAGCCGCAGTGCTGAAGTCGGCCAAGCTTCTGGACTGTGTTTTCCCCCGGCCGTTGTGGAGCCCCTTGGGAGAACATTTGGTAGAGGAAGAGAAAGGTGAAGGACAGGGGGGAGAAGGAGGAGAAGGATGACGAGGAGGAGTAGGAGGAGGAGGAAGAGGACCAGTGTAAACACCATTCCTGGGACTCTAGCAATGCAAATCCTTGAAGCCGCTGTAAGCTTTTGAAGCGAATGTGCGCGGCGCTCAGGCGAGAGCAACATTATCCTGGCAAAGCAACCTAACAGCGATGTGTAGAAGCATAGCTGGAAACATTGCCTGTGGTATTCATGTACGAGTGCTGTTGTAAAATTCGGGTGTTCTCGCAATTCCTTTGAAAGGAAATCTTCGAAAGCAGGGCTGTAGCCAAGAAGGCTACGGGGACGATGATGATGATGAAGATGATGAGTCTTGGAAGTCTGGGAAGTGGAAGAGCACGAAGTGGCGTACAGTTGGCTCCGGGCATTCAAAATGTGGCCCGGGAGTGGAGTTCTGGGAAGTGGAAGAGCACGAAGTGGCCTACAGTTGGCTCCGGGCATTCAAAATGTGGCCCGGGAGTGGTGTTTTGGGAAGTCCAAGAGCACGAAGTGGCCTACAGTTGGCTCCGGGCATCCAAAATGTGGCCCGGGAATGTAGTTCTGGGAAGTCGAAGAGCACGAAGTGGCCTACGGTTGGCTCCGGGCATCCAAAATGTGGCCCGGGAATGGAGTTCTGGGAAGTCGAAGAGCACGAAGTGGCTTACAGTTGGCTCCGGGCATTCAGTGGCCCGGGAATGGAGTTCTGGGAAGTCGAAGAGCACGAAGTGGCTTACAGTTGGCTCCGGGCATTCAGAATGTGGCCCGGGAATGGAGTTCTGGGAGGTCGAAGAGCACGAAGTGTGTGACTGTTTGCGAAAAACGAGTTCGGACCCAGCTCCCCGGATGCCGCCTGGACCCCCCTGTGGAGTCATCTGCTGTTTTTTTTTGGCACCACTAGAAACCTATCAGTCTTCGCTGTTAGGTAATTTTGAAAACGACCCGCTCTCTATCTTTGCAACTGTTGCAAACTTTTAAGACGAACCTTTGCGGCACGTAGGCGGCAGCCACATTTTGCAACCGGCTGCTCTCTGTGCGCGAACCTGCTGCACACTTTTCAGACGAATGTGCTCGGCGCCATGGCGAGACCGGCATCTTCAAAACGAGCCGCCGTTCATCCTTGAAACGGTCGGTAACTCTTAAGACAAGTCTGCGCGGCGCCAAGGCGAGATCCGCACGTTTGAAACCGCTCGCCCTCCACCGTTGAAGCAGTTTCACAACTTTCAAGCTTCAGGGCCGTGAGCGGTGAGGAGGTCTCCGGCGAGACGCGTAGGAGGTGCGACAGGGACGGGTTATCCACGAGGAAGAGAGATGGATGAGGATGATGGGGAATAATAATAGTAATCATCGTAGCCAGAAGGATGATAATACTCGTAAGAAGCAGAGGAGGAAGAAGATGAAGCCTTCCCAGGGCTTCCTTGGGGCTTCCTGGGAGCCTCTTGGGGGAGCCTCGGAGGGGCCTCTTGGGGGCCTCCTGGGGCCTCTTGAGGGCCTGCTGCGGCCCCTTGGGGGCTTCTGTGGGTCCCAAGGGACCTCTGTGCAGTCGTGGGTCCCTCGGAGAGTCTGAAACAGGACCCGAACAACCAAAAGCCTCTGAAACAGCCTCTGAGACCTAAAGCATTCTGCCCGACACGGGGGGCTCTGCCCAACGGGGTCGATGCACGCGTCATGGCTTGCGCTCGTGAAGCGAACGTTGCGGCAAGTCTTCCTCATCCTTCCTCCTCCTCGTCACGGTCATGTCCAACATTGTATTCGCAGCGCGGCCGCTTTCTCTTTCACTCTACTGTTCACTACATGAGTTTGCCTATTGCAGGTCGGCTCTTGTGGCGTTCCCAGTCTGTTTGGCGAAACTTTTTGTTGTCGCTCGGCGCTGCCTGCCGCGAAGTGGGGACATGTGGTGGCCGCGTCCTCCTCCTCCTCCTCCTCCTCCTCCTCCTCCTCCTCCTCCTCCCTCCTCCTCCCTCCTCCTCCTCCTCCTCCTCCTCCTCCTCCTCCTCCACAGAAAAAGCTTCTGAAGCAGGCACGAGGGGCGGCGGGGTCGAAGACGCCTACGGCGAATCAGCGATGTGGCCGAAGGCTGTGGCCAGAGCTTTGACACGCCATCGGACTGTGTGGTTCCCGAGCCGCAGTGGAAGCCTTAGGGGTCAGTTGGGGGAGGATTGGGGAACGTATCAGGAGAGGGAGGAGGATGAGGAGTAGGAGGAGGAGGCGGAGGAGGAGGAGAAGAGGAGGAGGAGGAGGAGGAGGAGGCAGAGGAGCAGATGGTGGAGGACGAGGATACCTGAGAGCCTCTTGGGAGCCTCTTGGGGCACTCTTGGGGCCTCCTGGGAGCTTCCTGTAGGACTCTTGAGGGCCTCTTGGGGCCCCCTGTGGCAGTCTTAGGGGGTTCCTGGCCCGTCTGACGCCGTCTGAAGCCGTCTTGAGAGCCTCTCTGAACCGACTCGGGGCCCTCTTGAGGCGCTGTAGGGCCGTCCTGGAAGCCATTTTGGGCGTCTTGGAAACCTCTTGGGCCGTCATGGCACCTCTTGGGCCTCTGCGGCCAGTTAGGAGCCATCTTTGCGGCCTCTTGGGCGCTATTGGGGCGATCTTGGGGGCCTCTCGGGCCGTTTTGGGCCGTAGGAAAGCCGAAACTAAGCAATTGCCATTCCCTGTGAGCAACCATTGGACACTTACTGACGTTGGCCTCTTCGGGCCTTCGTGGAGGACCTCTTGGGGGTCTCTTGGGCCGTGTTGGCTGCCTTTTGTGGGCCTCTTGGGTCGTCTTGGGCCATCTTGAGGCCATATTGGGCCATCTTGGGACCATCTTGAGCCGCCTGGAATGCATTTAGGGCCATCTTGGCTCTCTTGGGGCCATCTTTCCGTCTTGCAGGCCATCTTGGCTTTCCCCCTTTTGGGGCCCTCTTTGGCCATCCTGGGGCCACCTTGAGGGTTGTGAAGCCCAGCGGGAGCGAACATGCGCGAAAGCAACGACCATTGCCTTTCCTACACGTTTTTGGAGGACTTGGGTCTCTTGGGGGGGGTCTGCGGGGGACTCCGAGAGCATTTGGGACCATCTTGTGGCTGGCTCTCTTGTGGCCTCTTGAAGGCATGATGGAGCCCAGTTTGAACTATCATCGGCTATCTTGAGCCGTCTTGGATGCCATCTTGCAGCATCGGATGCCCTCTTGGAGCCACCTTGGGGCAACAAGGGCCCCCTGACACATCGCGGAAGGGCACACCAACATCAGGGAGAGGGGCTGGGCATCCATCCCCGAAGGGCAGAGGGCTTCGGACGAAGAACACATCATTTTGTTAGACTGCATACGCCCAGGGGGCTGGTGGGATTACGGCACCCGAGGACCCTTGTCTTCGTGCCTCGAGGCACGGCGGCGGACTTCTTGAGAAAAACCAGAGGTTTGATACCAACTCCATTGAGGCCGTCTTTCTCGCTCGCTCTAACGCTCGCTGAACGAGGAAGTGGACGACGACGTCGACGATGGTGAGATCGACGAAGATGAGGAGGAGAGGGCAGTCCACTTCAGCAGGGCGGCCGATGATCCTGGTACTTGTCATTGCGCTTCTCTCCGCCCTATCGAAGACGCCTTCGGCGAGCCACCGCCGTCCCGGGCCTTTCTGGAAACGCTAGTATGGGGGGGGGGATGGGCAGTGATGATGTTCCTCGGTCTCGTGCTCCTTCTGCTGGTACCCAAGACGACGGGGGGGTATGGATGGACGGAGGGAGGGAGGGACGATGAGGGGGGAGCAGGAGGAGGAAGGTGGTAGAAAGGAGGAGTGAGGAGGGGACGGGGTGTTCGGGAACGAGGTTGGATGAGGGGGGGACGAGTCTTCTCAGGGCCTTTCGGGGCCATCTTTGGGCCGTCTTGGGGCCATCTTTACCGTTGTGGAGGTTGTCGTGGACCGTCGTGGAGG